TATATATATAGTGTTTTAGTAAGTGTTATGTGTTTGCTTCGGCGAATAAAGTGTCGTATGACAAGATTGTTCCTGCCTCCTGGGGGCGCACTTCCATGGCAACCAAATCATGTTTTATCGAACAAAATAAAAAATAAGAGAAAACAACCTAAACATGTATGTGAACTTTTCAACAATATTTAACCCTTCGAACGCCATAGTTTGATATTGGTATTTGATAATACACTAATATTATGAGTTTCCACAATAGGTAAAACAATTACTGAATCACAGAATGGATTTGTTGGCAATAAATTGAATCGGTGGATTCATCATTTGTTGTTTCTATGGATGCGAGACTGTGACTGCTAATGGGATGTCTGTTAAAGTTATCCTGTATGCCGAAGAATTGGGAGAAAAACTAATATACGATTGCGAACTCAATTTTCGGAGATATAATCTATAGTCTTATAGATGTGAAAACACGGTAACCCTAGTTATGTATGTCATTGTTGCCATTTAGTAGTAAATCATTAAATGTACGGAACTTATCACGAAACGTGACTTATCACGAATCAACGCTAATATACAGGCATCAGAAGTGCCGAAATGTACAACGAAGTTGGTTTTCAACGCATTGTACATTACCCCCCCCCCCCCTTAAGTATGTCACTGCGGTCATTTCAAATTCAACCCTTAACGTTCAGCGTATAGTAAGCGAAGGAACGTACAGCCTAGGGCAAATTGATATGTAAATCACTTTATCAAAACCATCAATAACACGATGCTACCTGCTGCAATTGGAAGTAGTTTTGTTTTTCACTTTCGAAAGCAACGAAAAAAAATAGGTTTGCCTGCGGGCAATTACAGTTACACTAACAGATCTTGGAACACCGCGTGTTTGCACAGCGCTTACAATGCTCGTCAGAATATACACGGAGCATAACATTTTTATTCTATTCGCCGACACTAACAAGCTGAGGAAAATGTGAAACAATTAAAGTCGTCGGTCCGCGTCATTCTCGATGTGGGTTCCAAGCGACTTATGAAACAAATATAAAATACAACGCAAATATACGAGAACTGTTATTTAATAGTGCGTACCACTAATTAATATGTCTATTACTCCGCATACACTATTTTGCGAGCGCCCATTACTCGTACGATTTGTACTTTACGATAACTCGTAATCCTGTACATGTATATAGAAGCTAAAACAGCGAGTACTAATAAAAACTACTTATATTTATAATGTCGGATTCATAAATAAATATTACCTGTAATGTTTGTAACTCTTGTGTTGTGATCCTGCAAAGCGAGGCCAGTGATCCACAGTAGCACACGGAACTCTAGCTCATATAGATCTTTTATGTGAAGACGTTTCAACCTGCCAGGAATGCGGTGATACTCAAGAAGTCGGAAATCAGGAATGACAAGTGATTCATCTACCCATGCATTAACCGTTCCCTGGAGTCACGTGAAAAGAGCACAGAGGTTGCAATAAATTGAGCGGCATAAATAAATTAGGCGTACTGAAATAAATGAAGTAGAACGTACATATCCATACAGATGTCAAATTAAATATTTCAGTGTCGGTTGCACAAGAGGCAAATGACGTAATCGGTATGCATATAGTGATAACAGACAGTCGCTGTCAGTCTTTCAAATAAAACCGTGTTAATATACGTCACATGGACGTGCCAACGTTTTACGATTTATGAAGCTGTCATCTGGGGCCACATGCAGGAAGGTTTTTTTCTGTATTTTTTTTTAAAACAAGAACACCTTTCCGTTTTTATTGCTCAAACGAGCGTCACAGTCATCTCGCCGTGTCATGATCGACACAGTCCCATGTAACTCGTTTATAAACATTGCTTGTTAACACGAAATTCGTACGCGATGATTGTGACGTTTAAATTGTATGTAATACTGAGTCAAAATCAGCATGCGTGTGAAATGTTGGAATGTTTATGCCACGCATATACTTAGACAACTGGAAACAACATTTCTTGTCAACTAAAAGTTAATTTCTTAGCTGTTGCCATGTAATATTTTGATATTTTATACATGAGTTTGGTATAGCGTAAATAATTGTGATATTAGTATTGCTTGGTTTAAATATACAGATATAAGAAAAATAGGGAAAAACTCTTGGGGTTTGTGTCCCAGAAAGTTAACACTTTGTTTGTAAAATGCGTGCCCTTGCAATATACCCGTGAACTGGATCTCGATGACCTTTTAAACTTGGCAAAGTATAACGTACCTGCAATAGCCCCTCTTCCCCAACCAAATCTCGTAGTCTTCCGATAAAGATTCTGAACTTCGGTGGCAGCGGGAGGCTTTCAAGCTGCGTTATATTTAGAATTAACCCTTTTGACGGTACAGCGTAGTAAAGGCCGAGTAGGCGATCTAAGATAAATACAGCTATTTGGGACACATGTTTTTCACCGCGAAGATTTTCGTGCAAAGGCGCGACCTGAAATACGAATATCATAGAGAGACGTTGGTCAGATCATTGCCGATGAGCGCCCTCTGTTACAAATAAAATTGTGCTTTTCCACCACCGGGCCCGTCGGATGTTACCTCTTTATCGGTTAGAACATACGAAATATTAATAAAATTAAATTAACTGACTGTGAATTATTTCCATAGCTACAGACCTTAAACCATCCATTTCTATAAAGGTGATTATATTTCAGTTTTACTGCGACACTACCAGCTCTTGGATCGTCGCCATGTTTGTAGAAGTCACCAGGTATAAAACGTCCTCTGTCGATCATATTGTACCACTTCTTGTCTGTCATGTCATGCCAACCGCACATCTGTAAATAAATAAATATGTTATATAGTAATATAGTGATTATTGATGTAATGGCCAACACACAGGTTTGCATGTGAAGAATAACTCTGACATTGCAATTCAGTGTTGATTCGACACATATTATTGGGGCATATACTGTACTATAACGACCTCTCAAATATCTGGTGAAATTACAGTAAACTCACACTCATGAACTTTCGCTCAAGTTCCCGTCTCTTTTCTTCTTGCCTTTTCACCAATATCAGTAAATCTGAATTATAAAAAATCAATTCTATGAAGTCAATGGCGTAAACTGTGACACCGTTGGTATAGTTTGGAGAGGGATTCGTGAAAAACAACGAAAACGAAACGAACAAGTTAGTCAACAGCTAGCTGTGGGTCCGTAGCTGGTCTTTAGTCTTTGAGATGTGATTTTAGTAATATCTGATATATTTGTTATTAGATATTAGAATTTGAATCACACAGAAGAGTTATTGTTCCTCCAAACGGTATCGCAAATAAAAGTCGCCAAAAGCTGAATATTTTCTTTTATCATACCATTGAAACTATCACCGATCGATGATATGTGTATTAAACTCTCACCAAAGCGCATGATTTTCTTCCTCCCGGGATTCGGTGCTCGAACCACACGTAACTCCAGTGGTAGCCATTTTTTTCTGGTCGAACGAGGATAACATGACGTCACGATAGATACTCCCGTAATGCCGTCTGCTTTAGATGTATGGGTCTAGTGTCCGGAGTTTTTTGCAAGAAATTTACAAATAAATGTCTGTCCTCGCATGTAAGATGTAGTGAAAAATAGACAACAACAGTAAATACCAAGAGGTCTAATAGTAGCAGCAGATGACCATTTCCTGGCGTGTTATCTGTTTCATTTGCCAAGGAAAGTTCTACCTATAGTGACGTCATTTAGCCAAGAAATTTTGTTCCCGTTCAACCTCAAGAACTGAATGGGGGTCAAAACAACAATTTAAGGACACCAAATGTAACAGACATCATAACTAAAAGACCATTTTTGCAAA